ATATATGCTGGGTACAGTGGCTCATACCTATAATCCCAGCACTTTGGGAGACTGAGGTGAGTGCATCACCTGAGATGAGGTGAGGTCAGGAGTTCGAGAGCAGTCTGGCCAACATAATGAAACCCTGTCTGTACCAAAAGTACAAAAATTCCTGGGTGTGCTGGTGGGCGCCTGTAATCCCAGCTAGTTGGGAGGCTGAGACAGGAGAACTGCTTGAACCCAGGAGGTGTAGGTTACAGTGAGCCAAGATTGCACCATTGCACTCCAGCCTGGGCAACAAGAGTCAAACTCTGTCATACACATACACATACACACACACACACACACACACACATACACTATATATGTATATATGTATTTTGTACAGTGACACGATCTCAGCTCACTGCAACCTCCGCCCCTCGGGTTCAAGCAATTCTCCTGCCTCAGCCTCCTGAGTAGCTGGGATTCAGGCGCTTGTCATCTCACCTGGCTTTGTATTTTTAGAACAGAAGGGGTTTCACCATCTTGGCCAGGCTGGTCTTGAACTCCTGACCTCATGATACACCTGCCTCGGCCTCCCAAAGTTCTGGGATTATAGGCATGAGCCACCGTGCCTGGCCCAAGATTCTGTATTTCTAACAAGCGTACAGGTATTGCAACGCTGTTAGCTGAGGACCACGCTTTTGAAGAGCACAGAAGCTAACACTATGTTGGTCCAACAGTAATAATGGATCTGTTGTCTATTCATAATTTGCACAAATTATAAAGGTATGTTAAGTCAAAAATTATTTTCTACCTTCTATTTTCAGTCTTTTAGCTAGCTCTCTAGATTTAGTATACTTCCTCAAGAGCTCTGGAACAGCCTTGGCTAATGAATCCATGTCAACTTCCTCATACTTCAGAACATCGAGAGCTCTGCAAATATACAAAAGTTTTATTAACATAAGGATCTATGTCATATAAGGCAGATCAAGAACAAGATTCTTTGAAATAATATCAAATCTCAGAATAAATACCAAAAGATTCTAAGTACAGTGAGCAAATACAGCAGCATCTGCTAAACAGTAGGACCTCAATAAGACATATTATTTGATTGTCCCCAACTCCTTATCAGGAGAATTACTGGTAAGGGTGGCATGGCTGGAATCCATTTGTCTTTCCTTTCATATAGAATATCATCTCATAACAAGGGCTTCACTGAATTCCCTAAGCATTGGAAAGTACTTTACATCTAAGCCATGTTAAGTCCTACAGTCCTGTGAATTAATCATCCTTTTGCATGCTAGGAATCATGACAGTGATCTCCTCCTTTCTTCTACAGAAGTCCCAAAGGAAGAACAAGAGGACATTATGAGCATGCTTTAAGTCTCTGCAAAACAAACTGATAAAAATGATACTGGGGTTCATAAGTATTTTTCTTCTTTCTTTCTTTTTTTTTAAATAGAGACAGGGTTTTTCATGTTGCCCAGGTGATCTACCTACCTCAGCTTCCCAAAGTGCTAGGATTGTATGAGTGATCTACTGTGCCTGGCTGGTTCATAAATATTCGGTCTGATTTTTTTTTCTCCTAATTTGGTATAATCTCCATGTCAATTTTTACCACATTGAAATTTTTGATAGTCACTTCTGGGTTCTACTTCTACTACCCACTCTGGATGGGCTAAAGCCTCCAGAGCCAATGCCTTACCTCTCCTTGGGAAAGGAGAGCAATGTATGCAGATAGTGGGGACAATTACTAAAATTCCCAGGCAACTTATCTAGGCCAAAAAAGAAACATGACTAAGTATTAATGCACATAGATCAAGTGAGATTTCCAATAACTTAATTCATTAGCATTTGTTGAAATCAAATTAATGAGCAAAACTTTAGCTATGTTTAGTCTTCACAGGTGCTGATGCTCCTATGACCAGCTTAATCCCTTCTACACCGATCTGAGGTCTCCCCTCTTGTTATCACAAACCTCCCACCCACAAATTGACCCAGACCCTCTCCAAAAATGGACCTAGCTAGGTCACTTGTTGCTATTAATTATTACATACTTCATTTACATATGCCTTTTTTTGTTGTTGTAATTCATTTAAAATGTTATTGCCATTTTTTTTTTTTTTTGCAGAAATAGAAAATTTCATCCTAAAATTCATATGGAATCCCAAGAGACCCCAAATAGTCAAAACAATATTGAAAAAANAAAATTTCATCCTAAAATTCATATGGAATCCCAAGAGACCCCAAATAGTCAAAACAATATTGAAAAAAGAACATGGTTAGAGGCCTTATGTTTTCTGATTTCAAGCATAATACAAAGCTACAGTAATCAAAACAGCATGGTACTGGCATAAAGACAGATATATAGACCAATGGAATAGAAAATCCAGAAATAAACCTTCACTGTATAATCAAATTATTTTGACAAGCATACCCAAACCAGTCAATGGGAAAAGAACAGTCACTTCAACAAATAATGCTGAGAAAGCTAGATATCCAAATAGCAAAAGAAGGACATTGGATCCTTACCTTTTGTCATATACAAAAATCAACATGATATGGATTAAAGAGCTAAGGAAAGGCCCTGAGTTATAAAACTTCTAGAAGAAAACATACAGTAAAAGCCTCATGACATTGGTTTTGCCAGTGATTTCTTGGCTGACACCAAAAGCACAAGGAACAAAAGCAAAAGTAGACAAATGGAACTACATCAATTTAGTTTTTTTTTTTTAATTTTTCAATATAAAGTCCAAAGCATTTTTTTTTGTTTGAGACAAAGTCTTGCTCTGTCGCCCAGGCTGCAGTGCAGTGGTGTAATCTCTGTTCACTGCAACCTCCATCTCCTGCATTCAAGTGATTCTTGTGCCTCAATCTCCCCAGTAGCTGGGAATACAAGCATGTGGCACCATGTGCAGCTAATTTTTTTTGTATTTTTAGTAGAGATGGGGTTTTGCCACGTTGGCCAGGCTGGTCTTGAACTGCTGACTGTAAGGCTGGCTGCCTTGCAGAGGGTTAAACGGACACATCCATCTTTCTCCACGCCTGATAACTGCGTCATTACCTAAGCTCGTTATTTGGCCTTGCCACATGGCTTTCCCGCACCTGCCTTTGCATACTAGACCCAAGCCTACATTTAGCACTAAATTATGCAGTCAACACCCAGCCCACTGTTAATAAACCCTGCAGGAAAATTTTTTAAAGAAACCCCATCAGACCCTGCCTGGTAGCAGTCTGCTCTGTATGCGCCCGGAAGGCCCGCTTACCCAAAGTCCCGCCCGCCTACCCATGACCACTAGCTCCAGACATTTCCTGCTTCTTAATAGCCAATAAGACTGCCTTCACTTTGTTTCCCCAACAGTCAATCAAGGACCAAGGTCCCACCCACCTACCCATAACCACTAGCTCCAAGCATTTCCTGCTTCTTAGTAGCCAATAAGATTGACTTCACGTTGTTTCCCCAACAGCCAATCAAAACCCACTTACCCAAAGTCCCGCCCACCTACCAACAGCAACTAGTTTCAAGCACTTCCTGCTTCCTGACAGCCAATAAAATTGTCTTTACTTGTTTCCCCAATAGCCAATCAATCGCCTTCCCTTCCCATAAAACCCCATAACCTAAACAGCCAGGCGCAACTTCTTTGGCCCCTTCCTGGACCACAGAACCTCGCCCAGGAGCTGCATAAATTAGCTTCTCATTTTCTCATACTTGCCTCAGTTTCCTCATTCTACAACAGCAATAAACCTTACACTGACATCAGGTGATCTGCTTGCCTCAGCCTCCCAAAGTGCTGGAATTACAGGTACAAGCTACTGTGCCTGGCCCACACAAATTTTTTTTTTTCCTCAAAGATTGGGTTTCCCCATGTTGGTCAGGCTGATTGTGAACTCCTGACCTCAAGTGAACCACCCGCCTCGGCCTCCCAGCGTGCTGGGATTACAGGTGTGAGCCACCACACCTGGCCTTAAATTTTTTAAAAATGTACATCAAAGGACACAAACAACAGGGTGAAAACACAATCCACAGAATGGCAGAAAATACTTGCATATCATATATCTGAAATGGGATTAATATACAGAATACATAAAGAACTATAATTCAACAATAAAAAAAATATTGCAAGGCATGGTGACTACATCTGTAATCCTAGTGCTTTGGGAGGCTGAGGTAGGAGGGTTAATTGAGACCACAAGTTCAAGACCAACCTTGACAACACAGCAAGATCCTCTGTCTACAAGAAATAAAAATCTAGCTGGATAGGGTGGTGCACACCTGTGGTCCTAGCTACTTGGGAGGCTGAGGTTGGAGGATCACCTGAGTCCAGGAGCTCGAGGCTACAGTGAGCTATGATTGTGCCACTGCACCTCCATCCTCGGTGACAGAGGGAAACCCTGTCTCTATAAGAAAAAAAAAACAAAACCACAACTGATTAAAAAAAATGGACAGAGAATAGATATTTCTCCAATGATATAAAAATAGCTAACTAGCACATGAAAAGGTGATCAGCATCCACTAATCATCAGAGAAATAAAATCAAAACCCCAATGAGCTTATCACTTTATACCCATTAGGATGGCTACCATCAAAAAACAGAAGATGACAACTGTTGGTGAGTATGTGGAGAACTGGGAAATCTTGTGCACTGTTGAAGGGATTGTAAAATGATGCAATCAAGATGGAAAACAGTTCCTCAATAAATTAAAACTAGAACTACTGCCAGAGATGGTGGTGTGAGCCTATAGTCCCAGCTACTCGGTAGGCTGAGGTGGGAGGACTGTTTGAGCCTAGGAATTCTGGGTTGTAGTGCGCTATGCCCATTGGGAGTCCACACTGATTTCAGCATCAATATGGTGACCTCCCAGGAGCGGTGGACTACCAGGTTGCCTAAGCAGGAGTGAACCAGCCCAGGTCAGCCAAACTCCTGTGCTGATCAATAGTGGGATCCCAGCTGTGAAAAGCTACTGCACTCCAGCCTGTGCAACATAGGGAGGCCCTGCCTCTTTTTTTTTTTTGAGACAGAGTTTCACTCATGTTACCCAGGCTGGAGTGCAATGGCGCGATCTCGGCTCACCGCAACCTCCGCCTCCTGGGTTNCGGCTCACCGCAACCTCCGCCTCCTGGGTTCAGGCAATTCTCCTGCCTCAGCCTCCTGAGTAGCTGGGATTACAGGCATGCACCACCATGCCCAGCTAGTTTTTTGTATTTTTAGTAGAGATGGGGTTTCACCAGGTTGACCAGGATGGTCTCGATCTCTTGACCTTGTGATCCACCCGCCTCGGCCTCCCAAAGTGCTGGGATTACAGGCCCTGCCTCTTAAAAAAAAAAAAAAAAAACTCCACAAAGAACTACAACTGCCATACAATGTTGCAATTCCACTTCTGGGTATGCAGTCAAAAAATTGAAAGCAGGGGCAGGCTGGGTGCAGTGAGTGGCTAATGCCTTTAATCTCAGCACTTTGGGAGGCCCAGTCAGGAGGTCATCTGAGATAAGGAATTCCAGACCAGGCTGATCAACATGGAAAAAACCCCGTCTCCACTAAAAATATAAAATTAGCTGGGCATAGTGGAAGGTGCCTGTAATCCCAGCTACCTGGGAGGCTGAGGCAGAAAAATTGCTTGAACTTGGGAGGCAGTGGTTTCAATAAGCCAAGATTGTACCACTGCACTCCAGCCTGGGCAACAAGAGCTAAACTCTGTCTCAAAACAAAACAAAACAAACCCCACCCCACACACAAAAGAAAGCACGGGCCAGGTGTGGTGGGTCATGTCTGTAATCCCAGTACCTTGGGAGGCCAAGGCAGGTGGTCAGGAGTTTGAGACCAGTCTAGCCAACATGGCAAAACGCTGTCTTTACCGAAAATACAAAAATTAGCTGGGTGTGGTAGCAGGCATCTATAATCCCAGCTACTTGGGAGGCTGAGGCACAAGAATCA